GAAATACAAAGAAGCATTACGAGTTATTAGACCTACTTGATAATTGGTACCACACTAAATTTACTATATTACAACATAATAGAGCGCTGCAAACGAAACTTTACCATATTCGTCAAGCAATCACTATCTTTGTTTTGAAAGAATAGTATCGTGATGCATCTTTAGATGCCTGCATTTCGAAAGATTTTCTCAACTTCTCTATAGACCTGAAATTTGAAAAAAAAAAATCATCATAAAACAAAGGGACAAACTAAAGCTCTATAATTAAATGCAGCAACAGCCAGGCTTCTCAAGAAGCAGTGGCTATTAAATAATAAAACAGGATATCAGTTTGAAATTATGTAATTTACAACTAGAACCGCAATATTTTTACCTTCTACAACTTGTTGGCACCTACTTAAACGTCGTCCCAGGGCTCGTTAGGCCCGTATTTTGGCCGTGCCACCACGATATGATTGAGCGGGCAAGCACCCATCACAAGGTCTGTTCATATAAGGCAGGACAGACCAGTGAAATACGAGTATTATAGCCAGGGAGGACACCGCAGCAGCTGCAGCACACCAGAAAACCATCATCTTTTGTATTTGTTATTTTGTGCAATTATATTGACTGGTGTATGGGAGTGCTGAGTACTATATGGAGTCCTGTACTGTACTGTGTTTTTTTCTGGTTCAACAAAGACTTGTTGCTTTATCGAGCCCTAACTTCTCCTTATGGCAAACATGGCGCAATAGCAAGTAGTACTGCTTTTCGTGCTAAATAAAGGTCAAGGGCTCGACTCTGTTAATGGTCACCCAATTCTTCCATGACTCGTTCATTCGTTTCGACGGCAAACTGGTACCAGTAACGTATGCCAAGAGGTCAAAATCGCCATCAGTTTGCCTCTAAGCAATCTTCAGGCTGTACTGACGATTACCACTCCAACCTGCATGCATAATCTGGTCTGTGTTTACAGCTAAGGGATGAAACATAGGCTGCATCGTAAAATGTCTTTTTGTATATGACACCTAAGGTCAATCCTCCTTCTCTACTATCCAAAACAGGAAGCCACTAACAATTTGGTTAGTAGATAGTTGCTGCTGACACGTGCAACCATTCTGTTACTTTCGATTATCTCAGCTTCTCATCAGAGTGAAGGTATTTTGAACATTAATTTTGTGATTTGCACAAAATAAAAATTAACACAAAATTAAATAACTGGCTAGCGTACCGACTGCCGGTGCGAAGATGCGTTTTTCGCACAGTTCTCCGCAGATTTTTGCCGCTAACGGCACTGACTCTTCCGGCAGATGCTTCTAGCTAAAAGAATTGAGACTGGCCACCACGACTGTGGAAAAAGATTTCCTTAAAATTTCAGCTTTCTAGTTCTTCAAGCTCCCGAGTTAGCAACTTATTCGCAAAGAATTTTCACGAGCCCTACGTGGGAAACAAGCACATCTGGGGGCTGCTGGCTTTGAATTCATTGAGATCCACAGGGGACATTTCCTTAAAATTTGAACTTTCTGGCTTTTCTGATTCTCGAGTTAGCAGCTAGCCCGCAAAACTTTGGTGGGCCCGTACGGAGTACTACGCGGGTAAGAGCGCCTATTTCGGGGGTGGAGGCCCGTACATGCATGTAAATTAAGTTCCCAAAACTACAGCCCTGTAGCTTTTGTAGGTCTTGAGATGAAAAATCGGTACAGACGAACACAGACACAGATACACAGACACACACACGCACACAGACAACCCCTTGTCAATATGCGTTTTCTGCATTGCATAGATGCAAAAAACGGCTATAAAAACTTCGTAAAAAATAATGAATGGATTTTTACGTAAAAGAAACAAACTCCAAACTGATTAGATAAATTTCGGAATTCCTGAAACACTTACTTCTTCCGGTGCACCGCATGCTGACACTTCTCGAACAAGATCTTGCGTCCTGTAATGCTCAACTATTGGTAGAGTTTGTGTACAGTACGTTTTAATCCGTTTGCGCAGCGATTCTTCGTTGTCGTCCGATCTCCCCTCATTTCGATTTAAACATCTTCTTACACAAATCTAAATTTTATTAAAATTTCGAAATGTTTATTTTATTAAAATTTTAAAATTAAAATCAGACATTTTATTAAAATTTTAA